GTACCTTTTAGGTGTTAAAAAAGCGGTTTTTGTATCTCTTAGGGTGTTCAGCCTCAAAAGGTACCCTGTCGTTTTTAATATGGGAGTCCCCCCTGCACCGTGTAGCTAGCTGATTAAAACATAAATTGCTATCATACATACCATGATTCAAGTCTAGCATCCTCTCTACAAGATCACTGCATTGATCTTTCCAGGAGTGCACTTTTCTATACTCCTCACGAAGGCGTCTAGCATGGTCTAGGCGTTCCTTCCTTGGCATTTCCCGCACTTTCTTGATACGGTCAGCCCAGTCTTTGGCTTTGTAAGAATCCACAATACAAGATTCTCCACCAAAGACTTTTTTCATAGCTGCTGCAAAGCCTGTGTTCTTGCCAACAAGAATTGGCAAACCAGCACCTAATGCCTCCAGTGCAGTTAAGCCAAATCCTTCTGATCTGGATGGCATAATGGCCAGATCTGCTTCAAATAAGGTTTCAACAAGCTCATCTCGACATGTGATATATTCTCTGACTTTTAGCTGATAACCTGCCAAACCTTCATGTTCTAACAACCTTTCTCTCACCTTATCATGCTCTCCCTCACATACACCAACAAAAATCAGATGGTAGGATTCATCGCGCAATTCTGCAACTGCCTCTGCAGCAAGGTCAAAGCCTTTGAGAGAAATATCTTCGGGGTCCCCTCGTCCAAAGATTAGAACCCTGAATGTTTTTCCTTGATCTTGTGCTTGGTCTTCCTCAGAAGACTCATGGAAAAAGCTTGGTGTAAGAGTAAAAACCTCTTTTTTATATAGATGCAACTTTGCTCGATATACTTCTGCCAATTTAGGACCAATGCCTACCACAAGGTCAGCTATTTTACAGAGTTTAACTTCCTTCTTAAATTTCTTTTCACCTGTAGCATTTGCCCCTGAATAGCTCTTGTAGCTTCCAAGTTCTTCAGGGTCAGTGTGCACTACCTGCACCCATTTGCATTGAAAATACTTTCTGATATCCTTTGCTTGTTTCCCAAGTATGCAACTGTGTCCGATGATAAAGTCCGTTGCAAAGTTTGGAGGCGGCGAAGTCCACCATCTGTCTGGATCTTTTCCAGTTGCTTGATCAGCTTCTAAGATTTCAACATTGTGTTGACTGGCCAGCTCCTTTTCCTCTTTACTGCACTTTGCCATAAAAAGACTGACTGCAACAGAAGGAGATTTGGCTAGTTCCATGGCAAGCTCTCTGTTTACAGTGGAGAGTCCTCCCTTTTTTGACAACCATTCATCGGCTATAAGAGTGATCTTTACTTTAGGCATATTACCGATACTGCTACCTGCCACCCTGCAATAAACAAAAAATGGAGATATGAACTAAATTCTACCGATATCAATTAAATATAAACTACATGTACATGGTGGTGGAAAAGGTCATACATCACAGTTTATTTTCTTCAATAAAGTATAAGTATACAAGAAGTTTCTAATAAGCACCTTAAGGGTTTAAGTACAGACCATTCAGTAATTTCTCCAATCCAGCTTTAAGGTTGTCTTTCTATGAATGCTTGAGAGACAACTGGTACTCTTGCATTTACTGTGTACCAGACATAACAAAAAATCCTGGGTATAACTAGAACCTGTTTTCTGCATAAAATATTCTCCTTGTACAGAGATCTCACCAGTACTCCTGTTTTCAACTTAAGTTCCTGTCAGAGTTAGATGAACAGCTGCATAAACTACTACTAAGAATGTACTGTTGTTTCTTATTTGCCGTGTGCTTTAATACATGTATATTAATTATTTAGACAAAAACATCCTTGTTTTTGAAAGCCTAATTAGCACATGTAACTATCATTGAATATTAATAACAATAATTATTATATGGCTGTGTCTCACAAAGACTGGGAACTACCAAATTCACAAATTTGATTGGCTGTAATCAATATTGACCATGGTCTAGATTTTCCCATCTAGACCGGCATCTAGCTAGACCGGTTTCATTTTGTATTGAAAAAGTAGCAAACTAAAATACAAAAATGTTCACCATTTCCTTTTATTTTCTTCTCAATCATTTATGGCACTGCCAAAAAGCCTGATGACAAAAAAAAAGTAGAGAAGACGAGCAAATTTTGGCAGGTTTAAGTAAGCTCATCGCTGTTCGCAAGCAAAGTGTCAGCTAGTACAAACCAGTTACATTAAACGAATTAAAGTTTTCTTCTTTGCCATATAATAAAGATCTTATTAACTGAGCTAAGTCGGTCTGTATGGGAGAATCTTNGACTGCAATCACCAATACAGTGGCTTGCATACTAATTCACTAACTTTATAAAACCCTCCCGAGGGGGGATATGATGAAAAGAGCTGAAAAATGATGGCTGGAAATAGGGTAATTTTCTCAGCTTCCGGTGTGCCATATTTGCTGGAAATAGGTTCAAAACCGATTTTTTTTTTTCCGTTATTTTTTTCTTTGGGTCACTCATGATCCCATATTATGACATGTTCCGGAAGTAATTACATCATCGGAGATTTCACAACGGCTACGACTGATGGTGCAAAAATACAGGTTGTGTTGATCAAGTGATGTGGTGTCTGCAGTAGTCAATGAATCATCAAGGACTGCTTTGGAATGTGCATTGCATTGCGACTGTGGCGCTACCAAAACAGTTAACTTTTAAAAGCGCGGTTGTAAGATCTTAAAGATCTTCTTGTTAATTATGAATTTGAAGCTGTTACTAAGACAGACTGTTTAAATATCTGGTGGTGTTTCGATTGTGTTCGATTGGTTCGGAGATGGAACACAATCAAACTCTCTCACTCAAACGTGGTCGATGATCGAGCTAATCGAATTAAGTTTGACCATAGTTAATACAGTAGTTCGATTAGTGAAGTCGGGCCTGAAAGTATGCCTACATGTAGCAGCCCTCCGGGTAAGGCCATAACATTTTATGGTTGGAAGCAAAGTATTTTCCTCAGCTGTCCGACAATTAGCTGAAAATACCTTACTTTTGTAATCGACACAACACTTCCTGATTTGCCGAGGTAATCATTTCTGCCGACCGATCAACGAAATCTCACATGTACACGGGAGCTTAAAGCCTAATGAAGATCAAATGAATTCGTATAAAGCAGGAAATAAGACGTTTCACAGACCTTTTCCGGCTTTTACGTCTGCCTCTGCCCTTTGCATTGCAACTTGCCATGTTCTGTTCTTCCAAAATACACTCTGTACTACCCTGGCCATCGACGAGGTCACGTGGGCGAACGTCGCAAAGGCGCGAAAGGTAACTCCATCCCAGGCTCTCTCTCCTTTGTCGGAGCGCTAATATAGTGTCACCCAAAAGTACAAAATGAAAGCAAGCAAACAAACCGGGGTGAAAAAAAAAAAAAAAAAAAAA